ATTTCATTTCATTTTATTTCATTTCATTTCATTTTTTCATTTCTTCATTTCATTTCATTTCAGTGGAAAAGCACAAATAAAATTGTGGCACGGGTTCAAATTCCTGTCTGCCCTTGCCTGAGGAGCAGGTCCAAGTTTTTCCTTCAATAAGCTGGATATTGAACATTCCAGACGGCTGATCTCCCTGGGGATGAACGTGGCATCTTTCTTTGTGATGTCCTTTTAACGCTGAGCTAGATGCTGGTGCTTATGCATGCCAAGTTATGTTGCCATAAGACATAAGAGCTGCTATTTTCAGAGGGCAGGTCGGTTTTCCTGTGGTGCTCACCAGTGCTGGATGATGGTGACACCTTTTAAATTGAAAACGCAGCAAGCATCTCTTGTCCTTCCTCATGTGTGCTTTTTTTGGCAATATTCAGCATCTTCCCCGCATTTTCCCACAGTTTTTTAACATCTATGTTTTTCAAAGCTTCTGTAACGAGAGGCTTGATTTGAGGATCCAGATGCTGCTTAATCATCTGCTCTGCACTTTCTGTTTGGTTTTCTTCTATATATTTCTCTATTCTTTCCTCTAATAGGTGCTCCATCTGCTCTATGTTATGTCCTTTATTATTAATGCAGAACCAACATGGGTATACAGTGAACAGAACATAAACAAATATGAGAACAGTAAGAAGAAACAGCCCATAAACCTGATAAAACAAAAGAAAAACAGATATCAGATAAAATAATTCGCCTACTAATACTTCCAGATTCTTTACACATACAAAACCAGCACAAATTAAGGCACCTAAAGTCCTGGATTCCTACAACTCATACCTGTGAAAGCGTGTAGTGATCAGTCAATGACCCTGCTCTCTTTTGTGTCATCGTTTGCGTGTGGTTGCCTTCTTTTGCTGAAATCATGCAGTCGAGGTATCTTCCATCCAAGAGCAGGATCACACACCAAAGCAGAGCCGGTAAAAACGCTTTGCCGATTATTCCAATTAAAAGTAGACAAGAGCACCTCTTCCTGCGGCGAGCCAAGGGGATGAAGGAAGGCTGGAAGATCAAGCTCAGGAAAAGCATAATTAAAGCTGGAAACAAAAAACAGGACCAAACATAGTAAGCCCTTAGACCTGCATTCTGAGGACATTTAAATTCCGTCTCAAATACTTTTTCTACCACAACTGTAATTATGGTGTATAATGGCAGAGACAAAGTATTATAATTATTTTTCCAACTAAGGAAGAATTTCTTTGTGGCTGACATTGTGCTCAGCAGTCAGTGCTTTACTAAGAGGACCGGCAAGTTCTTCTGTGGTTTTATATTATCTTACCCATGCTGTCGTCATCACTGTAAAGGATTAAAGAGCAGAGGAGGAATGAAAGCGAAAGCAGATATTCTCATAACCGTATTTTAAGTTTTAGTATTATACATTTGTAGATTTATGCTCATATAACATAGAAATTGCTGGTGAAACGACCTACAGAGGAGAACTTGGATACCAAACCCTCCCTCCCTGTGAAGTCCTTGGGCACTTGTGAGTTCCTACGAGGGATGCATTTATGGCAGCAGATATGGGGTTTCTGCTCTTAAATCCAGTTTAGGGAAGAGATCCGACTGGCTGCAAATTACAGCTCAGTTTAGGAGTATTTAGACGTTCCCTTGAGCCTTCCAAAGGCCTCTTTGAGAGACCTGCGTGCATCACCTTGTATTGTCATTCAAACACACCATATGCTCTTAAAAAGCAGGAAAACGTTGAGTTTCTAGTTAATTCCGACAGTTGCAGGCTGGAAAACATATATTGGTGGATAGAAATCCAAATCAGGTTCCCGCAATTAATCCAAATGCCAATTCTTTTATGACTCTCACAATCCCCCCAGGGGACAGAGGAAAGACCCGAGAGGCTCCGATCCTCAGGAAGCAGGAGGCATGAGCTCGCCATCCTAAACCAGGTCATTCCGATGCCTTCAGGTTGTGCAGACTTGAGGTGGGACTCGTGCCGGGGCAGCTCTCCAAAAGCTCGGAGCTCCCTTTCACAAAGACATCGGGCCCCCGTGGGCATGCAGCTGGGACATGTGGGTTAGCAGGGGCATCCCACTATCACTTGCATTTCTTCACGGCGAAATACGTCGCTGGGAGCAGCAGGAGGAGGAGGAGGAGGAGGAGAAGGTGGGAGGCAGACTTCTTTGGCACTGTGTTGTCTGGTGTGGGTCTGTTTGGTTTGGGTGTTGGTGGGAGAGCTGAAGAAGAGCAGAAGAGCTGATTTAGCCCAAAGCCCTGGAGTCCATCCCGTTCTGCTCACTGCGGGGTCACCGGCTTCCCTCTGTGCTTCCCCGCCAGCAACATGAGCAGATGGGGATGGGACAACCACGGGGTCCGCATGGCAAGAAGAGGAGCTCCAGAGGGTGCATGAGGGTGGCCAGCAGAGAGGAGAGTCCTGGAGGTCTCCTCCTGCACGAGGGTGGCCAGCAGAGAGCAGAGCCCTGGAGGTCTCCTCCTGCACGAGAGCGGCCAGCAGAGAGGAGAGTCCTGGAGGTCTCCTCCTGCATGAGGGTGGCCAGCAGAGAGGAGAGTCCTGGAGCTCTCCTCCTGCACGAGGGCGGCCAGCAGAGAGCAGAGCCCTGGAGGTCTCCTCCTGCATGAGGGTGGCCAGCAGAGAGCAGAGCCCTGGAGGTCTCCTCCTGCACGAGGGCGGCCAGCAGAGAGCAGAGTCCTGGAGGTCTCCTCCTGCACGAGGGCGGCCAGCAGAGAGGAGAGCCCTGGAGGTCTCCTCCTGCACGAGGGCGGCCAGCAGAGAGGAGAGTCCTGGAGGTCTCCTCCTGCACGAGGGCGGCCAGCAGAGAGCAGAGCCCTGGAGGTCTCCTCCAGCCAGTCCTGGTGAGGACATTAGTGCAGCAAAGGGAGCCCAGAGGCCAAAGCCAAGACTGGAACCCCAGCAGAGCCACAGCCTGACCCCCGAGGATCCCACTGTCCCGGGGACTGGAAGCATTCCACAGGGAGAACCTTGGGATTTCCACAGGGAGAACCTTGGGATTGTCTGCCCGGAGACAACCAGGGCTTTTGCAAGCAGCTGGCCCACTCTATTAAGAGGATTCACTTGAAAGCAGAGAGAAGCTGATGACTTTTGAACGATTCCTTTATAGCTCCCCTTCCACAGACGCCATGCAGACCAAAGTGCCTCCACACAGCACCACAACGCCCTGATGCCAGACTCAACAGAGCATCGTCAGCAGGACGGTGGAGAGGACAGCACAAGGGCTCTGAAGACATCCCTGTGGCGTGTCCCCAAGGCCCTGCTCCACCCCGAGGGCTGTGAGGTCCCGTCCTGGCGCGGTGCTCACTTCTCAACGGAGAGTGAACCATCATTCGCACGCCGTCCTCTCTGCACTGCTTGCAGGAGACAGGCCAGCTCTGGTCTTTCTCGGGCTGTTTGCTGGTTTTATGACTTCCTTTTGCAGGAGGAGACAAGTCATCGCTCAGTAATTCAGAATTGGACCTCAGAGGGCTCCTGTGGCCCCTAGGAAATGATCATCTCAAACTGCTTTAGGTGCATTGCTGTTAGGCATGGCATGATCTGGATCACCCAGGAAAACTAGCTCCAAAAGCTCCTAGGGGATTCCTAGATTCCAGAACCTAGATTCCTGGATTTTGCGTTTTTTTCCTTTAAAACAGGAATGATCTCTGAACATTCCAGAAATTCCAAAACCATTGAGAGCTCTGGGAAGAAAGACTGGGCCTGCTTTCTACGGCAAGTCTGGAAAGGCCTGAGGGACCTTGCAAGAGCTGTGGGAAAGCCCTGGGACTTTCCCCCACCATCAAGCTCCTCTCTCCCCGCTCCATCTCCATGGAGAAATTTTGAAATCTCACCACTCAAAACTTCTGTTTCACATCTAAGTGACGTGTCCATCTTCCTTTCCAGCCATCAGCAGTCTCCTCTTCTCCTTTTTTTTTCACAGCCTGCTCTCAGAAAATGCCATTGAAAACGCTCATATATAGACATCCAGGTTTGTGACCTCCACAACATCAGGCCTAACTAAGTCCTCCCCAACTCATCTCACTCTTTGGGCTACAAGGCCAGCAAAGCAGCACCAGGCAGGAAATATGTTCATATATTCAAGAAGAA